GGTCCTTTCGCCCAGGCCCAAACCTACGCAACTTGGGTGAGTGGCTCGGGTTTGGAATGAATAGCCCTATTATTAGGAAAATGGCCTTTGGTCTGCTCAGGCTTAGGGCATCTATCCTTCAAGTAACCCATGCCCGCACCGTTGTATCTGAATGGCGGATATCCCAGAGTCGAATCGTACCGTCCATTCCAGCGGAGAGGAATTGGTCTGCAGTGGGGTGCATCATCAGCGACGTGACCCCTGCCATCATTCGACTTCACGTGAGCACTACCAAGCACCTTATAGTACAACTACGGTACGTATTGAATCGAGTTACCTATCGGTGTGGCCAGTGTAGTAGCGAAGAAACTTGTTGTCGAAGAACGAATGATACCGAATGCGGTCTATGCGAACAGATAAGAGCCATGGTAACTACCTTCAATATACCAATAAGCAAGCAGTGCCGACCAAGAAACGTACGATCATTCGCAGTGTTAGCCGATGAGAAGATCACACAGTCCAGGTGATGGGTAAACCTCACAATGCCTACGCCGTATCGCTTCGTCAAGATCGTCTTGGCAACACTGCCGAGAGCAATCGTCACCTGTTACCCTTCGATCAGCGCAGATATCATCGGTAGCAGTACATCAACGTACGTTCCACTCAAGCAGTTAATCATGGACATAACACCATCTCTGCGACTCGTGACGCACCGCTCGCCGTTGCGGTGGAAGTCCAGCGACGTGATCTGAACGTTCGGATCTTCATCCTCCTGCAGACAGTTGACGGCCGGTTGCTTCAGTAAAACAGACATATATATACAACTAGTATTTTCAGCTATGGGAAAAGCTTTCACCGACCTGCGGGGCAAAGTTGCGAGCGACGCTGAAGGAGCGCAACACGGCATCGGTCAGCTCCACTCCTCCGTCTGCCATTATTGCAAATTTGACAAAATAAAACTCCATCATGATAAATCTAATACAAAAAGCAAATTAAAAAACGCTTTTTTTAACTCATACTGATATCCGCTCG